ATTGCACTCTAAAAGAACCTCTGGGCTCTTATTCAAAAATATGTTGGCTTCTATTTACCTCTTTCCTCATTTGTATCTATCAAATGGCTAAATGTATAAATAAAGTCCGGGTGTTCTTATTAGCCAAGGCAGTATTTCATGCAGATTAATGCCGCAGATTTAGTAAAATGTATTTCTCTTTAAAGTTAGAGTATGTTTTGAATTAATTTCCTTGCTGTGTATGAATCAGGTATAGTCTATTCTATGCCTGTTGTTTCACAATGCTCATCAGCATCACATCTGAGCATTGTCTATGGTGCGTTAAGATCCCGATTCAGCAAACCAGTCTATTCAGCAAAGCACTTAATTTTAAAAACGCGCTTAGTCCTATCCATTTTAACGGGACTATTAACAGGCTTAAAATTGGAATGAAAAGATGATTCAGGGCCTGCCTGACAATGCCAGCACTTTATTGAGCACAATTATTTAAATCTCAGCTCACGTGTCAGGGACATATCTTTCAGCGTTCAATAAAATCTGGTTTACTCCCACTGAACAAAAATCTTTAACCTTCCTTCGCCATGAAAGTTGGCTAAAATTTCTCTGGATTCTGCAGACAATGAACAAGAAAATGAAGTGCATTGTCAATCTGGATTAAAATACAGTACGAAATCAATCTTCTGACGTTTTAATAGACTAAGATGTGAGTGAATTTTGTTAAATAAATACACTGGATGTTTTCGGGAATATGTTGATCAAATAGCTGCTACAGCTTCAACATCTCACACAAGATAGATCCGCACTTGGCTAATTTTGTAAATGTTAAACGGCTTTGCCAGAACTCTCCTGTCTTTTGAGTGGCTGAGATTTTTCTGGGGTAACGTAAACACTACCAAGCAATTCCCCATGTTGGTGCTTCAGGCTGTGAAGAAATCAGCAGATGGAGAGAAAAATGTAGATTAGATTAGATACATTCCAACTTTTGGTCGACTGCAGTGTTCGTGGTCAAGATTTCATTCCTGTGCTACAGAACCTCACTTTAATGTGATGTAATTATGGAAATGTTTGTGTTTGGTCCACATTTAATCCAATTACCCCAAAACTCTCCCAGCAAGTGCGAACTATATTGCTCTGCTAACATGGATGAGTTTATCTGTGATTGTGTAGATCAGTGGGTCTCGACTTCCTCATACTGTGAACCCCCATATTAGAAAAGAAGGTAATTTGGAGCTCTCCTTACGTTGAGCCATAAAGAAAGGGTGGGTGGCCACACCACCATGAAATCGTGTTGTGACCCCTAGCTTCAGAACCTATGACGTAGTAGATCATATTTTCACACCCAGTCGGTAGAGCTGTGTGACTCGGGTTAAACCACCGTCAAAGGAAGGAAGCTAGAGCCTCGATACTAGGGTGAGGTGTAGACAGAAACTAAGGCAGAAAGGAACATGTCAGTGGACATGGGGTGCAAAAGGGATGAAAGAAGCAGAGCTAGGAAATAGGGCATGATCACTGAAAATTCTGATAATTAATCACGGTGCTACTGTGGCTGACTGAGATGCATGCCTGGCAGCATTTTATACCAGCTGATGTCCGTTTCAGTGAATCAACTGTAGGTTTCCCTAAAGGGTGACCCGCAAAGGGTTTTTTTCCCTCCCTAATTGGGGTCGTGCCCTTTCTGCTTGGTTAGGATGTAAGTGGAAGCCCGGAGAGGGATTTTTCAGAATAAATAAATACAATTCTGTTTTTTAAACTTCAGAAATATCAAGATGTGAACTCTAGTCTTCTCGCGTTTTGCTGGAGCCTCCTGGGTGCTTCCGATATAGGTACTGTGAAAGTTAACCCGTCAATTAAAACGCTGGAGAAGTTGGATCTTTAACGAAAGCCTCCTTTCTCCAGAATGTTAGGTAACCATTGATGATCCACAAAGCATACAGAACCCTAGGACATTTTCAATTGTCCGATTAAAAGTCCCTTCTGCAGCTGCACATCTTTCTGGCTTTTAACCCTTGTGATTTCAGTGGCCCTCGATGTTACCGGAGCCTTGCAGGCTAGACAAGCACTGAATGCCTACAGTAGCAAACACTAAAAATTAAAATAGGGCCAATTTGTTTTTATTTCATGGTATTTTTCCCCTTTGCAAGTCACTTAAATTTGAAAAAATTATTGGATGAAGATTAGGAATCCATTTCACTGCCATTCCCCTGCTCCTGTTGATAGTTAAATAGTTCTGTTTCTGAAGCGTTCTCTGTTTGTCAGTCTAAAAGCGTGGAAAAGAAAACGTAAATTTACCGTCCAGAAATACAGAAGCAAAGGCAAGCTCAAAACTGCAATATTTCCTAGTATTGCATTCTTGTTATGAAGGGCTGAGAGAGAGAGAGCATATTGCCTGGAATGGAATCACCTCCAGAAATAGAAAGAACAAAAATATATCGAATACGAAAATTTGAAGCACTACAAATGCTTTTGATATTTCGGTCTTAATGTTCAGTGATGCGGTGGGTCCATTAGGGGGCACTAGAACCATGGTCTATTCAATCTGTTAGGCAAATTCAGTTTTTTTGTCTTTGAGGTCCTGTCATTCTCTGTATAAACAAGTTACGTTCAAGTGTTTAGGATATAAATTACGACCATGCAGGCTTGCCTTGGAAAGAATGTAAACACAGCACTGTGGTCGGAGCAAACTCTGAAACTGACTTTATAATTTATTGCAGGCCCCTGAGAAGCTCAGGGGGGAAAAGGGCATGTTTGAGTATAAATATAAAAATGGAGATTTAAAAAAAAATCATTCTGATCAAGTTCACTCCCTACCTACATAGTGTTTAAAGGTGCCAGGGTGATATGGATGCTGCACTTTAAATAGGAGTTTGTTTCCTTCCTTTTAATATGGACTGGAGCTGCACTGAATTGTATTATGCCTGAGGATATGATTGCATGCGATCAGGGGCAAACTTGCTGTCTAAGGGAGAACAGATCTTTTAGCACTGAATTGGCCAAGACTGTGCCACAGTTTCTTTCACGTAAGAAAGTGTGATGTGAGGGAAAACATACATCAGCTCGATTCTATCTAATCTACCGAGGAAGCAGAACAACAACATCCTTCATATTTAATTCGCCACGTGGTTTATGGAATGGAATAGCATCCTGGGGGGGGGGGGGGGAGAAGTGAATTTCTGAGGCAACAATCCTTGCACGTACAGTTTCATTTTGCTTCCATTGGGGGATGCACATGAAAACTTGAAAAGCTTGAGATGGTCCCTTAAGAAATCCAGCCAATACAGTAAGGAGAAGAGACTTCAAGAGACATTAGTGCATCTGACCCCCCTGTGTGGAAGTCTCTTTTAAGGCTCCATACAGGGGTCCCACGGTGTGATCAAAGGGTTGTAGCTTATAACCGTGACTTCGCTGCTTTACGTAAGCAGAAAGGTGTATAGCTCGTGAACTCCAATGGATTTAAGGGATGAATTGACTTTATGAACTGAACTTGAGTAAATGTTCAGCTCCATGTAATCTTAGATCTATCCCTGGGGTTCCTTGCCGCTGCCCCACTGCCACTCAGACATGTGTTTTTAGTATTTTGACATCAAAACCACGACATGACTACCTGAATGAGTAATTAAGAAGCCACGATTTTAGTTAACGAACAGGAGGATGCTTTTCTGAGTTACAAAAAGCCTGTCCCACAATCAGAAGTGACAAGGCACTATTTATATATAGCTTGATCCTGCATTCCTAGCGCACCCCAAACTCCTATTGAGTTCATTGTTTCGATAAGGACAAGGACAGCAGAATTTGGGCCAACTCCTACTCAAGGCATTAATACAAGGAAAGAGCAAAAACAGGAACAATTCTGAAAAAGAAATCAATATCATGGTCAATTGGATGATCTAAACATTGTTCAGTGCAGTTGAGGCGTTACATATAATTGAAAGACCGTTTGGATTTCTAACATCTTGATTATTTGTTTTTATGATAACGCTTTCCCCATAGTATTGCAAACCCTCCATAAGTAGCCGGGGAAAATAAAGAGTAGAAAACGAGAGGAGAGACAGAGAGACTCCAAACCTAAGGCTAGCTCAGGACACAGATCCCTCTGCAGGTCAATTACTCTCACCTTCCCTTCAATAGTACCTGCAGGGTCTAGGATGCTTTATTATACTTACTACGCTTGCGTTTAAAGGGACAATTAAAAGAAGGGTTAGAGTGAAACTAAATGCCTGTCCAGTGCATATTCGTTTATACACATTTTATTGAAAAAGAATTTGTACATCAAAATATTTTTGGCAAACTGTAAAAAGTATACATAAGTGCAAATATATTCTCCTTTTAAAGCAGTTAAGTGTGCGAGTATACACAAGATGTATTTAAAATATTTCTTTTTAAAAAATACTGTGGTAGAAAACAACTTTGTAAAAATAAAAACAAAACATTGTATTTTTGCAATACTGGAAAAAATGAACTTTCTTAAACTCTATACACGTAACTTCTAAACAATATATTTTTAATAATATTGATTGGTGCTGGCGTCCGTAGAAAGTGTTTTGAAAAAAGTTTAACTTTATTTAACGCTCGAACCACTTAGAAATGGAATTTCTCGCTGGTGTTGGTTTGAGGCAGATTTTTCCCAGTCAAAGGAAACTTGTTTCTATTTTTTTTAAATGATTGAACTGACCACTTTTGCAGACCCTAATTTTTAGGACAATGGAGATCACAGAAATGCATTTTATTATTAACGTGGATAGACTTCCTATAAAAGAGACCCTTCCTCCGCCCTCCCAAGCACATACACATACAAAAGAAAACCTTTCAAAAAAGCTTTGGAGCATTACATCAACTTTTTCTGTCCTTCAAGGTGTGGCAGGGGACAAAATGGTAAACAGTGCTGCCTTGTGTAATTTTGCTAAGTGACTTGTGTACTATTCAATGCTATCAGGAGTGCACATTACATTTTATCTGCGTGAGTCCGTCTATATCTGAAATCGGTTAAACAGCCACCTGACTGTCTTTATTTGATAGTGCTAAGTTCACATCACACAGGGTTTGATATCTTGACAGACGCTTTGATGGTGATGGTGATGATAGTAAGATCCACTAGCAGAAGGGTGAAAAGAAGAAATGCCATTAAAATTGAGAACAAAATCTTTCCTGTCACACACTGGGGAAGAGTGATGCTGGTAGCGAGGCAATCCCACTGCAAGAGAAGAAAATAACAAGAGCTTCTCAGAAATTAGCTCGACTCTGTCTGAAAGAGTGATTCTGTCTGACATACATCGTACTTATGGCGAATGTAAATTCAGCTATGTGGGGAAATTAAATGTCACAGTTATGACGTAGCCTTCTGGACCATTTAAGAAGGCCTCCACAAATTGTTAATTTCCTTGAAGACACTTTTAAAAGACAGTCTAAAGGCTATTGAAATTTACACGATATAGTAGTCTTGTCCCATTTCTCAAAAAAAAAAAAAAAAAAAAAGTAAAATTATTGTGCACATCTACATACTTAAATAGTTTTTGTGTGTATTTGTGTGAGTGTATGTGTATACAAATAATATGCTTGTCAGAGTGTTGTGTAGAGATATAGATTGTATGTATGATCCATTTATCTATATAATATATACCCACAACACGCAAACCCTCATATACATGCTATGTGTATATGGCGTGTGTGTGTGTGTATATGTGCAGGTGTGTTCGCTGGAGTTGCACACACATCTCTGTACTGTGTGTGTGTGTGTGTGTGTGTGTGGAGATGTAGTGTGTGTGCAACTATATGAACACACCTGCACTTTTTTTTCTGTATGCAATGTAGATAATGATCCTGATCCTGCCCTATTAAAATTAATGGGAGGTTTGTTATTGACTTCAGTGGGTAGAGGATCAATGAGAAGTAATTTTGTTAAGTATAGAATGTGAGTGCGTGTGTACTGTATCTCGCTATATTTGGACATGTGTATTCATATACTTAAGATACAGAGGTTGATGCCCTACACTTAAAGAAAAAAGTACAATACTTCCCCCATACCGTATCACCAGTATATACATCACGTATCAGCCTCTCTCAGACATTTCAAACCCCACAGCCACACGCCAGTGTGCCCGGTTCCTGATGAGCTGTACTCTTTTGGGAGCAATGCTATACAACTGTGGTCCTGAGGTCCTTATTCAGACTTTATTCTCCCAGTGGGAGCTTTGCTTGAGAAAGGACTGCAGGATCTAACCCAGGTGTGTTTTTCCCCTCCCAGAGCAATCTGTTCATATCTGAAATGGAATGTTCAGTGGGTTCAGATTTTTCTTCTGGCCTATTGGACTTTTTCAAATCTTACTGGAAAAGAAGCTTATTCGAGGTTCTTCAATAGCTTATCGCAGAGTCCTGCAGAGACTGGGAGCAAATCTCAGACAGCACCGAACATCAGCGTCTAAATTTGTAACGTGGATAAAACTTTATAGATTCCAAGGCAAATGCGTCAGCAGCTTCTGTGCCCGGAGGCGAGGCAGCCCCCTTCCAGTGAGGCACGTACTGTACTCATGGCAGCATGCCTATCTCTTTCTGAGCTGCCGTCATTGTCCCTTCCCTCACCCCACGATGCTCACTGTGTAAAGGTGATTATTTCGCTGGATTTCCTTGGTCTTTCTAATAACCCTGCTGGTATGCTCACAATAAACCAGTGCACTTTATTACAACCCTGATTCAATCAGTGAGCATGGTTTAATAGTGTGCGAAAAAATGGCTCCCTCAAGCCTCCAGGAGAACAAGTCTCTGTTTCCAATCTTTTCTTTTCTTATTCTTGGGTCAGATGCAAGTCCAAGGCTTAAACTCTACACCATCACTAACTTAAATGGCTAGTGATTTGATATAGGTTTATTGACCGATAAAAACACATTTTGGAACCAAATCTGCGTCGCATTAAACTAATAAAAAAGCAGCTACAGAAACACTGTGTGCACTTGTTATTGCGTGTGCGTTGTAGATTAATGAGAAATAATTGCTCTTATTCATTTACTGTTAAGAATTCTTACAAACCCAGTAACTAATTTTTACCATAGAATGCAGCATATACATAAGTGTATATATTCACAAACAAAACCTTTTTAGCTACCTACGGTTTGATGATCTGAGCTGCTTTCACTAAAGGCCTGGGCCCAAATCATGGCATTAGTTTTTAAACAAAACACATTTATTGAAATCAATTGGAAATTCCGTTAAAAAAACTGATTGCACGATTTGACCTCTGCTCTAGCACATCTGAAATAAATATTAATTTGTCCCTTTGGCATAAATGATCGTAGATAGATAAGCTAGATCTATATTTATAGTAGCGAGCTAGCTATGGGATCTGTACTTATTTTACGTTTTAAAAGGATGAAACTGGATTTAAATAATCACATTCTTGGAAATATTTGAGTTTTCACGGTAGAACAAAATCCTTTGTTTGAAAACAAAACAAAACTGTTCTTGGATTGTCTCCATGTCCCTTTCAAAATTAAAATGTTGCACTCTGACAACAAACGTCACTTCTAAGACCCTGTTGATTCCATTCCCACTGAAGTTGCTTACTATATTTTTGGGAGAAGTTTTTTATTTGTAAACCTCAAAGCATTTCTAAAAGCTGTCCAAAGGTTATGCAAGTGTTTCTCGAGGCGGGTTGGCGAGAATATGCAATTGCGAACGCGTGTGTCCTGAAAACGGATAAGGAAGATTATTGTTCTGATCATAAAACCAAGGTGAAGAATTAATCTAATCTGTAGAACGGGATTTACAATTAAAGAGGCTATAATCTGGCATTTCGAAAGTGCAGATTCCGCCTGGGCAGATGGAAACTCTTTGCGGAGGTAGGGTTAGCGTATTGTTTTCTGGACCAAGGTCCATTTCCCAGGAGCTGCTGTAAAGTACTGAATTTCTGTAGCTGCTTCTGCTTTACAAATCAGCCTCTGAGTTTATTTTCAAGGTTTTAACACTGTGCGGTTTTGTTTGGTCAGCTTCACTGCTGAGATAAATTTAGCCAATGCAAACTTTAAACCTTCCTTTCCTAACGAACATCCAGAACCGTTTGCATTGTTAAGAAGTTGCTTCTCTGCGAGCGAAGCAGCCAACAAAGGTTAAACATTGTTTAACATCGAAAGCTACAGTGCAATTCTCTGAGATGAACTGAGGAATGATTGACAGCCCTTCAAGAAGGGAGGGGGGGGAACCCAATGAAGAGGGTCGTCTGTATTTGTTACTTGTTGAAATTCCCATAAAATTGAACAAGACCCTGCTCTCATATGGGTTAAGTCAGGCTAAAATCCTCTTCGGTGTGGTCCAGCCCAGACTGTCTTTGTTTGGTTAACCTCCAAGACCCACATTTAAAAGGGCTATTTGGAAAATTCCCCCCTAAGAACTTAACATCTTTTACCCATTTTTGTGCCTTGTTTTCTCCACTAATGTCCCCTTTGCAGTTGTTCTAAGAATACATTTTCTATAATCACTAGAGCAGGCAGGGAGGGGAGAAATCCAGACACATTTTCCCCTCTGGTGGTAGAAATAAATTGGATCTGCTTTAATCTCTTCTGCATTTTTAAAGATTAGCGGGGTTCCCCCCCCCCCCCCCCCCGCCGCAGCCTGCAAGACTTTGGAGGTAATATTAAACACCTTTTTAAATCACTCCTGCTATAAATCTCCCTGGATTTTTTGTATTTAATGACGGATTTGTAATTCTTTATGGTTTTCCTAGTATTTCTGGCTAAGAAATCAAACAAACGTACAAGACGGGTTGAAACTGACAATACCATAAAGATAAGGATCTGGGTTTTAACCTCTAAACTAGTAATAACAACACTAACGGGCATGTTCAGATTAAGATCCAAACCCATAGCAAGACAGTAGTGGATGGCAATTTTTGTTCTCCCCATACTTAGCCAGAAACAGAGCAAATATGTTCACGAACAATAGCTCTATTTATCCTTCTCGGACCGGGTTTTGTTTTCTCTTGTCAAGCTCTGTTTTCAGAGAAAACACAAAGCAGCCCCAGCCTCGCCCTTGTTCCTGGGCTCTTATCTGACAGCTTCAGTAAACCAGAGTCAACCGCCAGATTGGCCAAACTAAGGCAGCAATTGGAGAGCCTCCTCTAATCCTAGCAAGAGACCAGCCCCAGCCGTTAAGGAATGAAAGTTGAAGGGGTATTACCTGACAGGTCCTCCCTGGCGTTTTGGTGCAGATAGCTTTGCTCCAAAGAGTAACTGGACATGCTGGAGTGGATGCCCGCTGAGGCTGGGTTACTGGGTGGAAGGGCCTGTTGCTTTATATACGGAGATGCCCCTGAGGCTGTCCAGTGAGCTGACGGGCTCGTGTAGGGGGAATGGCATTCAATTGCACTAGCCAGGGCGGGTGAAGATGGCACGGGGCTGCTGCTGCTGTCGGGACCGTAGTCCCCATTGGAAGTCACAGGGCAGCTGGCCATGTAGGTAGAGCCCGGGTTGGGGGACATGTGAGGGGCGTGATGCCCGCCGCTCAGCGCCTCGTAGCCCCCGGCCATGGAGTTAGTCATCATGTCTAGGTTGTAGCCGTTGGCGTGGCACGCTAGGGAGGCAGAGGGCGCCTGGAAGTCAAAGCCCTGAGGCAGGATGGAGGCGCTGAAGCCGATGCTGTTCATCATGCGGTACATGGGCTTGAGCGCCTGGCACTTTCTTCGGAAGCCCCGGGGCCGGCGGCGGAAGGAGCCTTCCTCGAACATGAACTCGCTGGCCGGGTCGATGGTCCAGTAGTGGCCTTTGCCGGGTCTGCCCAGCCCCTTGGGCAGCTTGATGAAGCACTCGTTGAGCGAGAGGTTGTGGCGCACCGAGTTCTTCCAGCCCTGGTAGGAGCCGCGGAAGAAGGGGAAGCGACTCTGCAGGAACTGGTAGATCTCGCTCAGGGTCAGCCGCTTGGTGGGCGAGCTCTGGATGGCCATCACGATGAGGGCGATGTAGGAGTAAGGGGGCTTCTCGGGCCGCCGCAGCCCCGAGCTCGCCTTCTTGTTCTTGCTGGAGGAGGAGGAGGAGGAGGTCTCCAGGGCGGAGGGGGGCGGCTGGCTCATCAAGGCGGACTGGAGAGCTCCGGGAGCCGGGCTGCAGGAGCGGAGAGGGGCCGGGGGCTCCAGCTGCTGCTGGCGGCTCTCGGTGGTCATCTGGCGGAGGGAGGGAATGGAGGGGTGGGGTGAGACTGGAGCGGGCTGGCGGAGGGCGGGTGGGGGCCCTGATGGGCTGGTGGGGAGGGGGCGAGCTGCTACTCCCGGGGCACCTCCTAGTGCTGCTGCTGGAGGCGGCGGCTGCGGACTGCAGGCAGCGCCCTGTGCATCACTCCCCCAGCAGCGCCCGCCAGGCCCCTTGCGCAATGGCTCCCCTCCTTTCCGCCGCGGCGAGCGAGGCACTTGGCAGGACGGATTAGGCTGCGCTCCGGCTCGCCCCCTGCCCCCTCACTGCACTGCCGTGGGGAGGGCTCAGCTCAGGGCTTCTGACATTCCAGCGTGGCCCCCCCGCACCTGGCGGCCATCCCTCGCTGCCTGATCCTTCGAGAGGAGGAAGCACGAGAGCCCCTCGAGTTTGGCGTCGCGGCTGAGCAGCCAAACAAAACCCGGCCACCTATCAGTTCCTTAAATCTTGCTCTTGTTCTTCAGACCCCCCTGAATCCCGCCGAGAACTCAGCCCAGCAGCAGCGAGACAGAGAGAGAGAGAGAGAGAGACCACCCCCTTTCCAGCTGGCCCCTGTCCACTCGTCATCTGGGCAGGAGGCGCTGCAGCACCAGATCGCTCTAACTGCCCTCCCTAACACACGCAATTACACCATTCATCAACCTCACTTAGACATTTCAATCCCCACAGCCACACGCCAGTGTGCCAGACTCCAAAGGTAACGTGCCGAGCTCTCTCTTTCCTGGCATGGCAATTGCATGCTCTCTTGTCGCTTGAAGGAATGTCCCCCCCCCCCCTTGGGATGGAGGGAGTTTCCCACAGAGCAGCAGCTCAGGGGAGAGCCTGGAGACCGCAGGGGGCTGGGGGAGCATCTGAACGTACCTGTGCGTGGACTTTGCCCCGGCACCAGCCCCAGGTTCACTTTCCGCACCACGCAACAACACGAATGTTGAGCAAGGAGCAGAATAATTCCGGTGTGTGTGTGTGAGTCACTGGGTATCTGCATGGAACCCGAGACAGCAATATTGCCGCTGACAGCCTGCCAGGGTTTTATATCGAGAACCAGCTCGCTAGACATTGCCAAAAAATGATGTGCCCCCGGTGAAATCATTTCCAATGAAACCCCCGGTTCCGTTATAGGGTTACACGTGCTTGGAAACAGGGTCTGATCCAGGAATTAAGGGGAGAAGGGAGGGGAGAAAGAGAGACAAAAGCTGTGTGTGTGTGTGTGTGTGTGTGTGTGTGTAAGATCTCTAAAGCCGTGGGGCGGGGGGGGGGGTGGATGGAAGTGGAGGAGAAAGGGATGCTGGAGCAAAGAGCAAGGAAAGGTTTGGGGCCGAGCAGGACGCCATATCAATGTGCCTGAAGCACTGTGTGTCTGTCTGTCTCCAGTGCAGCTCCTTGCGGTGCTTGCTGGTGGGTATACGCAGGGAGGGGGTTGGGGTTGGGGCTGGTCTCAGACAGTGACCTGCAGTTGAGTGGAAGCAGGCTTTTTCCATCAAACTCTGCCTGGATACCACACACAGAGCCCAAGTGTCAGTTTACTGCCCTGAGCCCGGCTCCTTTTCCCTAAGCTCCACAGTAATTAGACAAAGAAAACCTAAATTAACTGAACAGGCGTCGACAGCTTCCTCCAGCTCACCACTGCTACATACATGGGAATGTGTCCGAAAATGGCTTGATTGTACCTGAGAATCAGCTAAGAAAACACTACAAAGCTCCACACTATTTACCACATATTTGAATAGGACCCCGCCCCCCACAATCGCATTGCCAATATTGTTTACCTTTCGTAAGACATTGGTATAAGTTTTTCCCATATTGTATTTGGAGACGCGATTTCTGAGCTTGTTGGAATTACCTCCTCAGAGAATAAAAAAATATTTTTTTGCATTTAAAATCTTTCCCTGAGCCTGATCAGCGAGAGCAATTCTTTTTCTCCTAAGCTCTGAGACATCTGTTTAAATGTCCAGATCATTCCACTATCAGAGAACTGTAAAATCTTCAAGCCCATATTTCAACACACTCCTATAGGTTCTCTCTATTAAATATAAGGGGGATAACTTTATGTGAAATAACTCCAACCTGATACATTTCAGTATACAATATTATGTGGGGGAGGGAGGGAATTCGCTCAAAGTAACTTTCAGGAGAAATCTCTACTCGCAATGTAAGAAAATGCAATTGCATCATCTCTTTATTACAAAGCAAATTAGAAAGGACTTTCACAAGTAAACCAAAATAGCCCCAATTGGGCAGAGAAGCACCTCATATTTACCATCAGTATTCTGCATTAATCTCCACTTTATAGGGGGAAAGGGGCAACGAATTGCGCCAGATTCTTTATACCTGACAGGAATTTACTCTGCCTAGCAGACGATTACTTTAAACAAATCATTAAGAAGCCAGGCGTGCTATTTACAATGAATTCAAATGATCGTCGAGCACTAGCAGCACCAGTGGTGGTCTCTGCGTCTGAGTTTTACTGTCTTCTTTATTTTTAGCCACACGAATCCTGCGTCCGAGACAAGGTACTGAATGTTTCCACGAGTTTTTGCTGTTGGTATCGGCTTGAGGTTCCCATGATTAAACAAAAGTACATTTGCTGGTTGGTGAAGATGTTTATTTTGGTTGGTGTATCGATTTCTGTGCTAACCCAGCTTTGGAGCACAAATGCTCTGCTTTTGCCATAGTATACGGACATTACACTTTTGGCAGATATGGTTAGTCAGATGGTGTTCTATAATCATCTTTTTTATTCTAGGAAATCTCTTCATTACTGCGGTTTCAGTTTCATGTCCGTGCCCCTCTGCTTCTTGGGATAAATGAAATAGCTTAAACCAGTTAAGAAAATGGGAGACAAATATGAAAGATAAATGTTTACTGCTATCTAAGAAACTTCCCTCCTTAACTGCAGGCTCTCTCCCCCTCCCTCTCTCCCTGTTCTGAGGTCCGGCATATGAGAAGCATTTTTTCAATTAAATCCGAGACTGAAACTTAAACAAATCCCTTCAGTATTGTAAAAGTACGTTTCCTTAAGCCCTGGAGGATTTTCTCTCCACTGTCAGTTTCAGGGTGTCTGAATTTATCGAGATCTACATAGATCTAGACAGGCTGAGGCTGAGATAGACAGATACATTTCAGCATTAGGGATATGACTGCATTTTGCGCGAGTTGAAAATGCTGATCAACCAAAGCGATCATCCAATAGACTCTCTCAGCAAAACCTAAAGAAAAATCCGAGGAGACAAGTCCCTTCAAAGCGAATTGACTAAGCAAGGAAGGAGGGGAAGGGCTGGAATGGGAACAAGGATTTAGTACCAATTCCAGACTCTGCTGCCCTTTCTTTGTCCTGAACCCCCAGACCTCTTGGCTTCTATTGGACCTTTGGCACCAGGCCTGCAATCCCAATGTTTATTTGGATGGATTTTCCGTTTTGCAAACGCATATGTCACAGACAGGACGCTTTTTATAGCCATCTTCCTCAGAACGGCATACTCCCCTATGTCCTCCTTCAATGATTTGATGCCTCTTTTGGCTACGGGGGGAAACTTTGACAGTTGAAAATCTTTGTAACAGATTAACCATCTAACTGCTTTTCCCATAGGGACTGTGTGTCCATAAAGCAATCAGTGCTCTCTTCGGATCAGCCTGTGTCTAAAGGATAGAAAAGGAAATACTCTACAAAACATAAAGGCCTACCTTACTTGCAGTAAAAAAAAAGTTAGCAGCACTTTAGGCAACTAACTTTTAAAGGCAGTGTACCTTGAATAGTTTGTTATGAACCCAGCTGAGAATCCTAAATTGCAGTAAGAATAAGATGTTTTAAATGAAAGGATTTCTACTGTTTTCCAAAGTGTGCTAAATAAGCAGCAGACGGTAGTAAATCCATTTTACATTTTAGGACGGAATGTTTTCCCATGTCTTTTTGGATATCGAGGACGAGCCCTTTTACGTTATTCTCTGCTGCAGGGAAGTTTCCTTGGTCTGAGAAGTTTTACACTTCTCCCATCAGTGGGAATTGTATGGAATACCCTGGGGTAGGAGACACTAAGAGGAGAGAAATGGAGTTCGTTGGTTATGTACAAAGGCGGAGAGACACAAAAACTATATACAATAGCAAAGTATTCTTAAAATGAAATCAGTTGAGGAGAGGGAGAATGGGGAGTAAGAGAAAAGAGACGCCCGAAAACAATGTATCAGGGTCCCCATTATTATGCCTCACTCAAGCAAAACTCCCATTGATTTCGATTTACCCTGGATTTCAGTGGGATTTTTGCCTGAGGAGGAAGTGCAGGATCTGTGTGCTTGGAATTCTTCAAGTGGAAACTAATGTGCAGGAATGTTCTACAGGGCCAGCTAACATCAGTGACATGGAAAGTGTGAAAGTTAGTTGCTCGGATCTCGCAGCCTTTTGCTATTTTCTCTTGGAGCCTTTCTGTTTCCCAGGCACTGGTCTATTCAGCACCCTGAAATGGGGTTTTCAGCTTTCCGGAAAGCCACTCTATAACCTAAGAATTTTTGCCTCTGTTCCCGAGTCTGCCTATACCATGCATTGTTTGAACTGGGTGAGTCTAAAATACCCTCTCTTCCTCTTCACGGTTTGAGAGAGGAGAGCTCCAGGGAAAGCCACGGCTAAAGTCCCTGGAAAGTCTCCTCTTAGAATGCAGCAATGCGTGCTTTCTAGATGGTAGATAATTTGTGAAGCAGCATCAGAAATGGATTGGGGAGAGTGGGCTGATGACCCCTTTAGCTCTCCCAGATGTGAGACTGCTGCCGGACACCACCTTCAGACTCTCAGGCAGGCTACAGGCTCGCAGCAGAAAGATTGACACAGACTTTTGCAAGGCAGCCTTCTGTACAGCAGCCCGGCTTAGGTATGCGAGGCAGCTAGGGTTAATTGTTCTACTGGTCCAAACTGCTGTGTTGCAAAGGCGCCTTTCTCCACTGCCCTATAATTGTCCCGTTTGCTGTGAGCTGGCGAGCTAAATAGTGA